TTTTTTTTACTATTTTAAACCCTTAACCTTTTTTTAACCGCCTATTTGATAAACAGATTTTGAAGGTGTTATAACAAAACATCTAATGGATCATTACAAAAGAAGGAGAAGAAATATTGCTCTGAGTCTAACTGCAGGAACAATAACTTTACAACAAGTCCGCCAAGAAATAAATAACAAGTTCGATGAAGTTTGCAAATCCTCTGAAATTATCTGCCAGGCAGGACCTCCGGGACTGCCAGGAGCCCTTGGGTATCCCGGATATAAAGGTGAAAGAGGGGTTCCGGGAAAGGAAGGACCACCAGGCCCATTAGGGCCTATCGGGGCTCCAGGCGCAGGTGGCAAAAGAGGACCTGTGGGACCTCAAGGAGTAAAAGGCGAAAAAGGGGATACAGGGTCCATTGGAGCAATCGGGTTAAAAGGAGAGACTGGACCGAAGGGTCGTAAAGGAAGAAAAGGATCCACTGGCTCTAAAGGGAACAAAGGTAGCCGAGGATTGGTTGGTATTCAGGGACCAAAAGGAGAATGCGTCGTTCCACTGAAGATCATTGTTCATCCTATATCTCAGGCAGTCTTTGTGAACGAGACAGCAATCTTTTTCTGTTGGGCACAAGGGCAGACTACCCTCAAGATCACGTGGCGTAAGCTTGGAGGTACTCTGTCTGATGCTACTGTAAAAGATGGTATGCTCCGAATCAACAGCGTACAAAGGTCACACATTGGGTCGTGCATATGTTCAGCTAACACAGGTCTCGGAAGTCTGGAGGCTTTCAGCACTTTACAAGTAAAAGGTAAGGATATAGGTCGCCACCTTTGCCGTTTTTTTAGGATATTCTTTTTTTAACACCAATGGTGACAGTAATTTTTAAATCAAATACGCATTTTTCTCTTTACACAAGCAGCCGACGACCTTGAGTGTGTTTAGATAGTAATTTAACCCCTTTGATGCCGATCACTTTGGGGCAGATTATGTGTACATGATAAACTTATAATTCAAAGATTATGATAGGTTTGAGTTGTTTGTCATTGCTATTATCAAAGCTAATTTTTTTTTTACTACTTGATACCGAATTGGTTGCTGATGTCTGCTGTTGATCACGCGATGTTATTAATCATATGTCGACTTTTGTAACGATTTCATTCTGCCATCAGAGCCACCGACATTTGTCAAGAAACTACCACCTTTCGTTATCGTAGATGAAGGCTCCGTATTAAGTCTCTGTTGTGAGGCTGAGGGCTTTCCTCGTCCCAGCGTCGAATAGTCTTGTGCTCGTCAAGTGTACTCTGCTGGTACATCACTGGCTTTTCAGGAACAAGGCTGCCTCGAATTTAACCCTGTTGTAAACAACAGCGACGGAACGTATGTCTGTCACGNCAACCAACCAACAAACAAACAAACAAACAATCAACACGTATGCCCTGTTCCTGTTTAACTCAAAATAAGGCTTATAACACCAACCAACAAACAAACAAACAAACAAACAATCAACACATATGCCCTGTCCCTCTTTAACTCAAAATAAGGCTTATAACACCAACCAACAAACAAACAAACAAACAAACAAACAAACAATCAACACATATGCCCTGTTCCTGTTTAACTCAAAATAAGACTTATAACACCAACCAACAAACAAAAAAACAATCAACACATGTGCCCTGGCTCCCTGCTCCTAATAGGAGTAGCTAGTCGGCATCTCCGTAAAAAAAAAATCAAAACTATTAGTCTTAATGAAAAAATAAAACTATTCATAGTCATCGCATCTTTGTTTATTGGTCAGTTATTCATAAATGCTTTTTATGATTTTCAGGGCATTCCTGTGAAGACATTTTGAAGAAAAAGGTGCTGAAACGTTCGGGAAGCTACAAGCTTACAGCGAACAATTTGATATATGCTGTGAGTATGATGGCATCATTCCTCTCTCAGAATAAATATAAATTTCTTTAGTACTTTTTTTTTTCTGTGTTTGTGTGTGTGTATTTTTTTCGTCTTTGTGTCGCTTTTGTTCCCTCTCCGTATGAAAACTCTTTCTAGCGAAATAAGAAGTTAAAATAGGGTCAAGATTTTTTTAACCTTACTGAAAAAAAAGAAAGGTTAATGAACGCTATTTTAGCTTCACACGCGACATCATAGATTACAGAATATACATTTTCTCGCCGAGAACATTGCGTGCAACATACCAACAAGGAAGTATTGCTTTTTAATGGGTCGCATCTGTTTGGTTTCCAGTCAAAAGCACAATCGAGATGGCAATTTAAAAACATTACTTATTTGAACTAAGGAAAGACTCTGAGCATGCGCAAGACAAAAAAATATCCCTAATCTAAGGAAAGACTCTGAGCAAGAGAAAAATCCATCATACTCTAAAAAGGTGCCTTCCTACTTTCCCTCTCATCATCCCTATCTCACTCCTGCCTCCCAATGAGTGAAGTGTTGGGATTAACTCCTCACCATTCCCGTGACTGTTTCAATGCTAACTATTAGAATGGTTTTAAAGCGATGAGTACTTCGAATCTATTAAGAGATGATATCAGTTTCCTAACTTATAACCAAATGAAAACTATCCTCTTCTTGATTTAAACGTATTTGCAATGTATTGTTAGGTTTATTGTGATATCACGGTAAGTCTTAAGGGATGGACTCTTATAGCTCGATTCTCTAACAGTGACAACAAGAACTGGATGCGTAACGATGGCAACTGGTGGTATGAGCAGAAAGCTGCTATTGGAGCGACAAACAACCCCTCAGTAAACAATGATATGATCTCAACAGCCTTCTGGTCCGTCAGCGGCAAAGAAATAAAGATCACGCGCAGTGACGACTCCAGTCACACTCCTCTGTTACAGACCACAGGTAACTGTTTGGGAGGACAAACATTGCGATCGAAAATCACAAGTTATGGCGACTTTAGAAATGGTAAAGTCTGGGCCAGTGATCGATGTCTAGGAAGTTGTACGGTTCAATATGGCAGACAGTACAAGTCAACAGACGGGTTTCAACAGGCTGAGTGCGGTGGAAGCATTCAAAGCGCTGACAAGATCGGCTTCTGGTGTGACTCGGGTAGTGGTGATGGATCAGTGATGATGATTGGTGGAGGAGGAAGCTGTGCACGTGCAGATCATGGGATTGGAGTCACAGAAACTAACGATGCTTCTTTTGTTGACCTCGGAGCCAGCGAGACTGAATATGACTTTGGTTATGATGCTGTCACAGGAAACGTTCCATCCCAGTTATACTCATTGAACTTATGGATCCGTTAAAAATAATTAGGCCATTATTTTTTAAACTTAGTTTAGAACTAAAGAACTTTGTAGAGGGTGATTCAAGTTAAATGAGCATTTAAAATTGGTCAGTAATAGCGAACCTTTTCCTCTCATAGCAAAGATAAAATAGCTGGACCATCACGCTAGCCGCAACGCTAAGATCCTTAAACATCTTTAAATTTTCACTGAAAACAAATTAATTCCCTTTAAATTCGCATCATTTAATTAAATCTCGCTATCTGATTGGTTAACGGGGCGAAGTATTTAGCGTGGAATTGCGAATTGAAAACAAAGCTGAGTGATATCGTTTCGCATTCACGTATACATAACAACTATAAGTAACGTTGTTTTATTTATTTATTTTTTTTTATTTTTTTTTTTCTACTCAATTTTACAATTTGTGCGATATGGTTTTTGCGTGCAATTGAATGCGGAATTCCCTCGTCAATCAATCAATTTTCGTATGGAATTTCCATGAGAAAACGAAATCCAACAGAGTTAATTAATTTAAGTCAGACTCACAACTCGTCAATGTTTTGAAGGAAATGTGAAGTATTCATTAATGATTGTGTAGTGATGTCAGATATAAACAAGAAGGAGGCCTGGAACTAACTTTGGCACCGATCATTTTTTATCATCGGAAAGGGAAGGGGGGAGGGGGTTTCGGAAGATGTTTGTTTAGCCACAACAAAAACGATTAATAACATCCTAATCTTGGTCTCATATCCTACTGTGTAACTGTAACTTACAAACACTGGGCCGTGAAAGGCCTCGGTGCGAGACTTATAAGATCCTCTATTCTGCCCTAGAAATAAAGGATGAAGGGGGCCGAGAGGATGAGATCTTCGGTAAGGGACTGCGAGAAATATTTTCCATTATGAATATCATTGTTCCATTCTGAGTCACGACAAAGTGCATTAGCAAACCTCAATTCAAGACAAATTCATTACTATTTTCTTGGTCTAACAAAGGAAACTTATCGATTTACTCTTATAACCTCCTGTGCCCTTCAATAACATCTCCATGTAAATAGTAAAAAACGCCTTATCTCTTTTTAGCTTCATTCTCTGTTCAGATGTTTTTGTATATTGCACATTGCTCGGGTAGTATCAGAGTATTGAAAATCATTACACAAAACTACGGAGGTCACAGTATAATTTTAGAAAACGCAAAATTTCCCTTTCAATCGATCATCACGGCAACGAGTTCACTACAGCAATTACCTTCGAGTCCAAATTAAAAAATTGAAAAAAAAAATCCTATTTAGTTCTTTTGAAGTTGAGATCAACCAGCGGGTTTCCGGCTTCCTAGCCTGATTCGGCTTAAGCGTATCTCGTTTACAAGTGATTCAGCCTTGGCAGAAACAAAACTTATCACCTTCGAGACAACACACATTCTGAAAACCGGATTCCTTCTGGCGTCGGGTCAGGCTTCTGGACTCTTACCTTTCTGACGCGATGATAGAAAAATCGATTGATAACAGTTTACTTTACATCTCGCCTGGACGTGTTCTTTATGATATCAGTTACGCAGGAAACCTAAACTTTCAGTTGGAGTAAAAAAGTTATATCTCGCAACAGTTGAGTTTGTTAATCAGGGAAGCTGTTCACTCGAATTCCCTTGAACCAACGATGGACTCTACAAAGGGGAAACCTCCCGCAAAACGCTCGAGCAATGTTTTTCGCAGAGGCTCTTCGTTTCTTTCTTTTATTTCAATTCTATTGATTGTTGCGCTGTTCTTGAGAATGGAAACGATCAGCAAGTGAACGGAAATGAACGAGCTGCGCATTTAGCTGTTGAAAGTCGTATGAGGATGACAAATAAAGAGAATCAAAACGTCGAGAACGAGCCCAAAATGTTCACAGGTAAGCATAAAACTATTTACCTGGATCCAAACGTATTTGGAGTTGGGTATGAATCAGTTTAGCTTTTATTCCCTAATGATATTCACCCGGAATTTAAAATTTGCGAAACAAAACGTTGCGGAATATGCCCCTATTTAAAACAGGGTAAAGAATTCACCTTCTAGCTGCCACAAATGAAACATTTTAGATAAAACACTCGATGAACTGCACCTCAACGAACTTGATTTATGTAATAACATGTGCAGGATGTGGAAAAAATTACATAGGAGAAACGAGCGATGTACTGAGAAATAGAGAGACAGTTCATAAACAATGCAACAAATTAGAGACCCATACACACGTATGCTGTGAGTCAGCAAGCATATTGATGAATGTGCTACGGAATTAACCCCTCATTTCACTATTTTTCCGTTTTACAAGATTCTCAGCCCCTCTAAGCTTATGAGAAAGAACAAAGAGAAGTTTTTTATTTCGAGATATAAACCCGTTCGTAATGATTTGAAATTACGCTAATTTCTCACGCGCACTTCGAATTATGAGCCATTATTATCGTAATCACAATTAGATCTGTGACGAAACAAGTCAATAAGCACACTTTGCTATGCCTGAAGAGCCGCAACAGTGGTGAAACGCGTAACGCAAAAGCAAACTAAAAGTAGAAGAAGACTTTCGTTTTTCATTGGTTTTAGTATCTTTATTCGACACAGAAGTTTACAGTTTCTTTATATATAGAAAGTTTTAAAAATTGCGAGGATGGAAAACTTCTGACGTAAAAAATATAAAAAATTTTAATACAAAACGTTTCGGTCAGAGACCTTCTTCAGTTATTTACCAGGTAAATAACTGAAGGTCTCTGACCTTGAAACGCAGTGCGTCGCTTTTACTTATAATACTGAGAACCTTGAACATGCATTTTGGTCTTTAGTATTTTTTATTTCTATCGGTTGCACAAGAACCCAATATTCCAATCATGAACAGCATCAATTTCATATAAAAGGGAAAAAGGGAGAACAGTTTGCGAGATTAGCGCAGACCAGAAGTTGCTAGTCAAATTGACGTGATCAAAAAAGCAAAATTTATCCCAATTACCGACAATTATCACCTTTAAGACCACACACATTTTGAAAACCGGATTCTATCAGTCATCACCGCAGAGATTCCACGAGATCACTACGCATGCGCATAACTAGTCATTCTGCTACGCTTACGCTCCGCCATTACATGTGCGACTGGTCAAGCGAATCGAAATCAAAGAATATCTTCACCATCCTACCTCCTTTACAGACAATG